TTTTCCTCCTTAAATTATGTCTTTAACTATTTTTTCATCTGTTTTAATCCGATTTTCCCCTTCATTTTTGTTATGTATTTAACTATTTTGTTTTCCTTTTAAAAAAACTATATATATGATACCTAACATTAAGAAAATGAAGGAGAAGAGATCCATATATTAATTAATTCATGTCCCCATTGATTTCATACTTAGTCCTGATAGAAGAAATGTCGAAAAATCATTAGTATATGACATGTAATGTGCTTTGTGAGATATAAAACTTTCCCTACAATATATGGTAAAGACTATTAATACATATGACATACCTCAACTTATTGATACATTTCGCAATGAACCCAATGAAAAAGAATTTTTAGATGAACTCTGTCGAAGTTCCAAATGTTGATATTCAAACAACATTAAAATTTAGAACAAAAACATGCTCGAAAGAATGAACCATTGTTTTTTTTTTTTTTTTTTTTAAATCGATGGACCTGATGATACAGAAAACACCTTTCTATGTCATGCTTTACTGGCAAAGGTTCAATATCAGAAGATGATAACACTTGCGACAACAACTTCAGGTATAGCAGCATCAATAATGCCAAGAGGTAGAATCGCCCATTCAAGATTCAATATTCCACTTCAGACTAATGAATCAACAATACAAAACTTATAATATGGGATGAAGCACCAATAACCAATACAAACACAATAGAAATAGTTGATATAACTTTAAGAGATATCTTGGATAGTTCAAAATCATTTGACGGAAAGATTTTTGTATTCGTTGGTTTAAAAGCAACAAGACAACAAATAATCAACTAGAGTTTGATTAGATCGTATCTTTAAGAGAAATTGAAAAAGCTGCAACTAAACCCTTATATGGGCTCCATTTTTCCAAAAAATGTATTTTTATTTTTTCGTCAAGTGCTACCAGTAGTTTCAAAAGCAACAAGATAGCAAATAATTAACCAAAGATTGGTTAGATCGTATCTTTAAGAAAAATTGAAAAAGCTGCAACTAAACCCTTATTTGGGCTCCATTTTTCCTAAAAAATGTATTTTTTCAAAACTTATTTTCAATCATACTATCCCATAAAACAATGTTACGGTAAATTTTAAAAAAAAAAAAAATCATATTCTTTAACCACATATTCTCTCAAAAATTCTTATCCCAAAAAATATTTTTCAATAAAAATAAAATAAAATTACTAGAGCCTAAACAGGGGCTAAATCAAAATATGTGAACTCAAAATGACAATCGATTTGCACAATCCTTGATCTAAATTGATAATGGAATATAACCTTATACAGAGGATGATTTTATCAACTTACCAAATGAAATAGTTACAACATGTGATGATGCTAAAACTTCGAAATGCAATGTTCCCTGGTTTAACATGAAATGCAACTTCTTTTGATTATGTGACACAATGTGAAATTCTTTCAATCAAAATGAGTATGTTAACTTTCTCAATGACAAATTAATTGGATTATTTTCTGGAGAAAGTGAAGAATTTGTCAACTTTAACGAAGTAATAAACCATACAAACCAATTTTACCAACATGACTTTCTAAATATATTGTTGTCAAATAGTATCACATCACATAAGTTAATCTAGAAACGAAATTGTTCAATGATGCTATTAAGGAATCTAGACCTACCTAACGGTCTTTGCAATGGAAAAAAAATGATTTATCATACTTTCAATAAACATATTATCTGTTGGACAATATGTTGGAAAATGAGTTTTTCTTCTGCACATCTCATTAACTCCAACAAATGATTAAGGACATCGATTCAAACTAAAGAGGAAACAATTTTCAATGTCTATGCTTTGCAGTGACCATTTAAAAGGCTCAATAACAAAAAGTGCCTACTGTTCGAATATACATTCGTGAACATGTATTCTTTAATGGAAACTATATGTCACACCATCTCTCCAAGTTTCAATAAAAACAATAAAAGTCCTGATAAAAGTAGAAAATAAAACGAAATAAAGACAAAAAAATATTATGTATAAAAAAGTGTTATTGTAATCAAAACATTACATTTCAGACTATTTAACTTCTTGACATTATGAGCCTGTTTGTGAGTGATTTTGAGAATTGATTTTTTGATCGTTAGGAGAAAAGTGGGGTCCACCTGTGAGAGAAGAAGTTAAATATGACGGCTGGAATAGTGAAATAACGGTCAAAAAATAATTTTTTTGGGTGAAAAAATCGTTCCCAAACAGGCCCTATATACAAAATTTCATAAAAAATAATTAATTAATTAATTCATATGTACTGTATTTTTTTTTTAATTTTAATTTTTCCCTTTAACAATATCAATTACTTCAATTACTTTCAAAAGCAGTATTAGTATTTCAAAAACATGATGCATATTATTCATCCGATATATAAAACATACTAGGCAGGTACTTATTTCTAGTATCTTAAAAAGGATTGAATATTAAAAAAAATTTCTATGAACACAATATTGTAGGGTTAGTACCATTCAATATCATGGAATATGCAATTAGAACTTGGCCAATATGAGGAACCCGAATCACGATCCCATTACCGTTTATTCAAACCCAAACACGACTGCATCGGACGTTTTTGGTCACCACAGTTCCATCCTTTAAAACAATTGATTCACATGCCGATGCTCTTTTTCTATCACCGTCGCGGCAGCCTCCCTTTTTGGTCCCACCAACTCCGGCCACGAATTCTTACCTGTAGTGAATTCATATCGATATTCAAAAATGTTAACTTTTAATACCACAATTTCGATTACTAGGCATGATCCATTTCAATCCAACTCACGAGAACCAATAATTTATATTATTCTTCTTAAAAAAACATAGATAGTCCCCATTGCGACCATTCAATATATATTAGTTCGAGATAATTCAAGAGTTTTATTTTTATTTTTTTTTAACTGATCTAACACTGGGATTCTCCTTCATGCAATATTAGTTAGCAATTTCTATAATAACATCACAGCCGAAATTTCTGAATGTAACTTTTCTGATATATATAGCACGCAAGCATGTGGGATTGAGATAATCAGTTTTTACTTCTTTTTAAGTTTTCATTTTCATTTTCATTTTCATTTTCCTTTATGTGTGTTTTATCAAACGGGCTTGATTTTCATTTTGATTTTTAGACGGTTAAAGTATATCCCTTCAATTACAATTTTTTTTCTTGTTTGTTTTTGTTTATTGAGGAGCAATCAAAGAGTTGAGTTATCAAGAGTGACTTGTGTTCCGATAATAATATCAGGGTGTAGCCATGTGATGTACGTTTGAAGTTATTTCTGAAAATTTCATAAACTGTAACTGCTATGGTTTAACCACACATTCTTCTCGAAAAATATGATTAACTATTACAAAACTTATTCTCAAAAACTCTATTATTAATCAAGCAAGCTCATAGAACTAATAAGTCAAAAAGAAGATATCAGAGTGCAGTTGCATTTTCACTTTTTTGAATACACTCTTCTGTATATTCGATGGTCTGCGTTAATAAGAGAACCAAGGAGCGAGCTTCCTATATAAGTTTGGCATCAAGATTGGTGCATATATTAAGGACGTGCAACTCCTTTACCTTAGTGGGAAGCAACCTTTACTTTAGAATAAAACACACCATCCACATATTTTATCAAGTCAACCTTCAAATACGCTCTCTTGCGTGTAATCACAAACAAATGTCTCAAAAAAAAAAAAAAAAAAAAAGAGTCGCATCCTTTTCATTAAATTAAGATGTGAAAGCGCTTTTATCTCATTTGCACAATGATTCTATGATACAATAATTGAAATATAAGAAACTCACAATCACATTGATAATTCACGTTATGTCTTGTATTAGAAAAATTCGAGTAACCTATATACTTTTATGGTTAAAATAAACACTTGTTATTACCACGCTCACTTTGATTAGGAAGCATAAAGATCAAACAAAGACTTCTTGATATCTTCCACTTACTTTATTGTTCACATATCTTTTGAATTGATTTAATTATTATTTGAATTCTTTGAGTTGACTAATCATAGAGAAAGTTGGAGCCAATATAAGTAAATACTTATCTTGATAATCTGATTCCCAAAGAAGTTGCAAATTATATCATGTGTCAATCATTTTCTCATTAAGTGACATCCTAAGCGTGAAAAGTGTATAGAGGAGGGGTTGAAAATGGTTTTCTATGTCATATGACGGAAAAGAGATTCTCTTGTGTATATAAAGGAACCCATGAAAAATAATGCATGGCGAAATCATCGAACACCCCACCTCTCATGCCCTTATCTCGCTTTCTCTGATATGAGTTGTTGAGGAGAATGTTGTCTGGTACGAAATCTTTCATATGAAAACTGCACGGTGTAATCTGGATGATTTCGGACCAGGCTTCATTCCCCTCAACCAGAAGAAATGCATATGCAGCTTTTCTCGATATAAGTGCATATATTCTTGTACAAGTCATATTCAAGGGAAGAAGAAGGTAAATCAACCAGAAAAGCACAATATGTTCCAAGTAGATAACTAGGCAGTGAATTTAGTGTTCACTTCCTAGATTTTTATTGGCAGTCTATCTTCTCCATGTGATTGTAGAATTTGGGTACTTACTTTTATCCACCCATACAGCATCAACTTTTCCCTTGCAGTTTCGGGTTTAAGAATTTCTAATAATCATTATACTTAATACATCACCCCTAAGAGGAACACAGTTTCCATTATTTCTAAAATACACGTGTCATTTTAGGACGTGAAATGTCTCACATGTCTGCTGCAAATATCCTTAAAGTGCTTCTCCAACGAGAAACGCCAAGTGTGGAAATACTTCAATGGATTAATCAATCAGTGTCATGATCTTGGGAATTTCGTCAAAGTCAAAAACTGGCTTTGTCATTACTTTACCGACTTAGTATCATATGATGGCTCAAAAAATTTGGGCCACTCAAATAAAGATCAATTCAATTTATAGATCTTGTTTGGCATCAGAACCACAAGAAATGGTCATCTTAAAGACATAAATTACTTCAAATACTGTACAATATTAGAGAGAGTGTTTTCAACAATCATTTGCTCCTCATAACAACCACTACGCCGTTGTAATTTTTGGCATCTTAGTTTACCTCCACACTAGATTTACATCTCTTGTGCAGTTAAAAAAATAATGGGGTGCCTAGTTTATTGCACTGGGAATACCTAATTGAATGGTCTTATAGCTTATTAAGATATCCTTGGTGGTAGTAACAGTAATGGGAAAATATGATCCAAGGTGAACATCTGAATTTTAATCTTTTATTATTTGTTGGGATGGGGTGAGTGTTGTGGACCACCTGGGGTTATGATATTCCGTTAGTATTTAAATTGTGTTGAATTCAATTTTTCCAAGACATTTGAACCTCAACATAAATTGAAATCAATACAACCAAACTGATAGGCCCAGGTTTCAAACGCTAAAGTAGCATAAAGCAGTTTATACAGTATGCAGACAGCTAAAATTTAAGATAAGGCCAGTAGAAGCATAATAAATGAAATATTAGGTACCATATCTGCAAAACTTTGGTAATAACTGCATAATGGTCATTTACCTCCAATGGAGTACTCCAGTTCAGTATAAAGGCATGTGCGAAACTAAGTAGCATGATATTTTTATCAAATCTATATAGTAGAATGCCAGGCTCCGTTAGGTGGTAATGACCAGTTGAGTTCCACTCAAATCTCTTTCGAAGTCTTCTGTGTCATAGGACAATATGTGGCATACCGGGAAACAGGTTTCTGTTTTCTTAACGACCAATTACATCACCATGCATCTGCATACACTAATCAGATTATAGAAATGCATGCCAAAACACAAACGAATGAGGGTTTGCTTAAAAATTATTACTTTAAGTAATAGCAGCTGTTCATAATGCATAACATGCAACTCCGGTTATTAACATACAGGGAACCTGCTGCTAATCATATTAAATATCATAAAATATTACCAACAAGTCTCAAAAAGGTTACACAAAACAGATACCTAGTGCAACTATCAGCTCATTTCAGAAATCTTTTAGAGGCACTGTAGCTCAGAAGTTAAGAAAGCAACATATAGAGAGACTTACAGGCTGATAAATCTAAAGCAGCGTCAACAATGGAAAGCCATCGAACTTGCCTTCCCAGTACTGTGCAACGGGCGAACTTTGATATTCATTAAACGCCAAATGTGTGGGTCCATTATTTTTAGTAGTTTCGAATCCTACTTCGGGAGATTTCAATTCTGTTTCCCGATTCTGGTTTGCAACTAGAAGTTTATACACCTTTCACTACAGTGGTGGATAAAATGCTCATGGTGATAGGTGTAGCATCTTATTTTTGAGTCAGCCTTGGTTGGGAAATTTTGGTATCAGACTCATATATTTCGAACAATTTGTGTCTTTTGACAATAAATCTATAACTAAAGACAATGTGGATTCATCAGGCAAAATTTTTCTCTCAGCCATTTTCTGAAGAAGTTCAACCACTTTTGGGGCATCATTATAACTGTGAAATCCTCGCATAAGTGTGTTAAAAGTTACCACATTGGGTGCACAACCTTCCTTTTCCATCTTCAAAAACAAATTATTTGCCTCCTCCATTTTTCCATCTTTACAAAGTCCATGAATCATGATGGTATACGTAAAAACTGTTGGTACCAAGCCCTTCTGGGATAACTTCTGAAAGAGCACACTCGCAACGTCAAGCTTTCCTGATCCACACAATCCATCAAGGATGCAATTATAGATTTCTATGTCAAAATCAAAGCCAGATCTTTCTAGAGTGTGAAACAGTTCCATTGCATTTTCAAGGCAGTTGTTTTTGCAAAATCCATCAATTAAAATACTATAAGTAGAAGAATCTGGGGTCACTCTGTGGACTTTCATCTGTTGAAAAAGTGCCTGTGCATCCTCAACATTACCAAGGTGAAACAGACCGGTCAACAAAGTGTTGAATGTAATTACATTTGGCTTGTATTCTCCTAAAACCATTTCTTTAAAAAGCCTAAATGCCTCTTCTAATTTCTGACTCTTGCAATAACCATTAATCAACACATTATAGCTTACAACATCTCGCTTGTGGCCTCTATCTGCCATCAAAACAAACAACTCCCTCGCATCAACAATCCTATTCTGTAGGCAGAACCCATTCATCAATACGTTATATGTACAAGAATTGGGCTCTTCACCTCTCTGAATCATCAAGTTAAACAATCCACTAGCTTCATTGGTCTTCCCCTCCTTACAAAGCGTGTGCATCAAGATATTAAACAATATCACATTAGGACGAATGCCTTGATCCACCATTTCAATGAAGAACAGCTTTGCCTCCTCCCATTCACCGCCCTCACACAAACCATGAATTAAACCACTATATGCAACCAAGTCTGGCCTAAATCCTCTATCCTGCATCTCCAAAAATAACTGTTTACCCTTGTCCAACAATCCCTCTTGACAAAGGCCATGAATAAGTGTGGAATAACAAATTAAACTAGGCTTAAATTTTAAATCAGACCTTCCATTCCATTTCCCTGCCTCTTCATGCAAACGAAGAGCCACCTCTGCTTTTCCACTCCTACATAGCCCCTTAATCAAAGTCCCCCAAGTCCAGATACTTGGTTGAAATCCCATTCCAATAATTTTATTGAACAACATAACTGCATCATCTACCTTATCTTCCATAAACAGCCCTTTAATCAAGGAATTAAAAGAAACAACATTTGGACTATACCCCCTCTTAAAAATCCCACCCATAACAGAAAAACCAAGAACAACATTTTTCATGCTACAATAACAATTGAGCAAAATGTTCAGTGTAATATAATCAGGCAATAAATCAACTTCAACCACCCTACGGTACATAAAAATCACATCTTTATAATTCTTGGTTTTGGCAACAGCACCAATCAATTTGTTAACTGAAGAGATAGGTGGCGCGGGATGCATTTGGAGCATCTGATAAAAGGAGGCAACAGCATCATTGGTGTTGATTTCAGTTGGGAATTCCGTCGTGTGTTTGGGTTTTGATGGGTTTATGAATAACGATGAGAGCTTACCTCTTTGAGCAGTTCTTGGAATCGCAGAAGCTGCTGAAGTTGTGCGAATCATTTCTTATGCTCTATACAAGAACATACGAACGCACTGACAGACACCCGCCCGCCTGCAACTCGAAGGGTTCTCGTATGGGAATTTGACATTGAACCCGTTGGCATCAAAAATAGATTTTTTTACTCTCTCTTCTTTCTTTTCTTTTTTTTTTAATAAGGAGTTTTGAGTCTTTTGATACCGTGATTTTTGGAAAATGTGCGGTTTAAAAATTAGGAATAATGCTGAATAAAACTCTCCAATTGAATTGAAATGAGCGTTTCTTTTTATGTTAAATATTCAAATGGGTATCAAAATCAAGAATCGAAGAATTTGGTTCGATTCTCAATTAAAAACCAAGAATCCAAAAATGGAATCTCCCTATTATTTTCAATTTTCATATATTAAACAAACCAAATCGTTTTAATTTTTACCTGGTTCATTTGTCACTTAATTAATTGAATCCAATTTATCATTTTCCTGTTCAGCCTAAACTTTGTAATTCAAATTTCAAAGAATCAAAATTGGGTGACCTAAATTTTTCTCAATCATTCTATCGTTACTCGAATGATCGAAGTGGAGCGATTTAGCCTCTTTTCATCTCATCCATTTTTTTTCGTATTTATTAAATTTCATCCACTTTGATCAAGGTAATTTGTATACATTGGTGAATTGGTCTTGTTAGAAAACATTTTCTTTATATATTTTTAAATTGATCTATGTTATTTTGTAAATGTTAATACGGTGTTGTTATACGACTTGAGATTGTACATGTTATTAGTTGAATTAATGCAATATTGTTGTAAATATTAAAAATTTAATTATGGTACCGAACCGAACTAAGTTCGTATTTATTAAATTTCATCCACTTTGATCAAGGTAATTTGTATACATTGGTGAATTGGTCTTGTTAGAAAACATTTTCTTTATATATTTTTAAATTGATCTATGTTATTTTGTAAATGTTAATACGGTGTTGTTATACGACTTGAGATTGTACATGTTATTAGTTGAATTAATGCAATATTGTTGTAAATATTAAAAATTTAATTATGGTACCGAACCGAACTAAGCCAAACGAAATCGAATCGATGTGATTCCATAATTAAATTTAGACCTGGCGGTTTCTAATTACTAAATGTCCAAATCAGGCAATGTCCAATCCTAATTAGGGAAAAAAAATTAGATTAACATGTATTAAAAAAAGAGTTTATAGAGAATGCTAGAAAAATAGAGGCTGAATGGGGGTGATTTTTATTTCTTTCTTTTTCGTTTACATTTTGTTTAAGTGAAAATAAATAAGTTCTTTTACCTTGTGCCAATATGAGCCAGCGTTCTAAAAGGCGGGCTAAGCAGCTTCTTTAGGCTTGATTCGTGACGGAAACACCAAACCAAATGGCTTGACGCCTTATTTAGCAGGTAACCATTGTCGTTGATCACTAATGCGCACTAATCTTTTTTTTTTAATTACAATATTTTAAATTAAAACTGAAAGGCTGATTTATTCACTTCATCTCCCTTCAATTCAAATTAGTCACTTGAAACCTTGACCAAAAGAAAACTTCCAAAAATTTCTATCGATTTACTATTTAGTATTTTCATTTGAAAGTTATCCTTTTGTTGGAAAACTAGAAAAAAAAAAAAAAAGTATAAAGTTCCTTTAAATCTATTTTAGATGTTTGATAGATATTATTTTTTATTATTGAATAACTTTTTGATTGATTAAAAATTAAAATAATATGAAAATTAGAAAACATCTTTTTACGCTTTTTTACCTTTCCTAAGCTCACCTAACTCGTAGCTTGGTCTTCACGCATCGCCTTATATTATGCATTTTAGAACACTAATGTGAGTAGGTACCATGGACAGAGATATTGGTTTTATTTTAAAAAGTGGTGTTCTCAATCATGGTCAATCTCACGGGTAGCAATTTAAAAAGATTAAATATATTTACACTATAATTTTTAATAACTAACTTATATTTTAATTTGTATGGAACCCTAATTACAATATAAATTACGAGGGTCAAGTTTTGGTACAGACAACATTGCAGAAGAGAAAGTTACGCAAAAATTTTTGCTGGCAAAGGTTGCATTTGTATGAATCCCTAATTAAATTTTAGAACGAAACCAAAGTTGCATGTGACTATAACTACTCAGATTCTTTAGATTTTTATCAAAATGGTCATATAAAAATGTGAGTAATTGAAGTATTGCCTTTATGAAAATGTAATTTCACTTTTTGCCTACAACCAAAGCTGTGTGAACAACCTTTTATTATTTAAATATTACTTAAATTTCTACGTAATAGTACCTTCAAGTTTATTTGAAAGTGTACATACATACATACATACATACGTACGTACGTACATACGTACGTACGTACGTACATACATACATACATACATACATACATACATACATACATACATACAGAAATCTCATTTTTTTAATATCATTTTTATTGTTTTAATTATTTATCTTTCAATACTGCAAATGAAAATGGCCAATTAAATAAGATTTTATACCTAATTTGCCGCATAATTCTTAGGCCTAATAAGTAGCTCTTGGAAGTTAAATTCGAGTGGACACAAACATCTAAGCTTAGTTACGTAAAAAATAAAGAAAATATGAACATTCCAATACCTAATATATTTAAATAATTAAAAATTATGTGGTCAGTAACTTTAAAAATTTAAACTACTTTGCTCAGCCGACTCGATAAAATTGCTGTTCTGGACATTCTATTGAATAAATAAGACAAGTCTCCAGCTGAAATATTTTTAATCTAAAAAGATCAAAAATAAGAGCAAGAAAATGAAAAAAACCAAACCTATCATCTTTTGTGTAAAGTAACCTTAAAATTTAAATTATTTCTGTAATGACGTATTCAAAATTCCTAGAATTCCTCTCCAGTTTCAATCTGAACACTTCAAATCTCAGCAAATCCTCTATTTCCCCGAGCAGTTTTAGTGCAAAATACATACATACAAATCTTCAAATTTGCAGGAAAATATTCTCTTCACGATTGATAACCAAGAATGCAGAAAGGTAAGTTTATACGAGCATGTTGTATATCATACGTATGTGCGTACATGATAAAGAAGGATTCATGGACCCAGACCCCAAATTTATTGAAAATAAAGCTTAGTTTTCGATTGTTGCTGTATATATATGCATTGCATTATCAATGATTATAATTTTCCCACGTCAGATTACACATATACAGAGATCCTTTTAGCCTCTTCCATTGGATTAGTACTCGCTGCAGCGATGCATTATCGGCTAAAGAAAATAAGGGATCAAAGAATCGTACCTCGGATAAAAGTTTCAGATAATGGCCAGGTTGTGAAACTTGAACGGTTCTCCCATTATGTAGGTAAATAATATCAAATCCCTTCTCGATTCTATGCAGGATCTGGTGCATATTTTGTTTTCTTTTTTTACACACACTGTACGTGTGCATGGGTGCTTGCAGCCAGACAAATGGGATTCGGTGATAGAAGAGAATGTCCAAACCTGTGCAAATTAGCTTTTGATTATATTAGAAAAGCTGATGGATGTGAAGAAGACATATATGCTTTCTTTGCTGGTGATCCGGACGCTGATTCTCTCTTTATAAAGTTGGTAGAAGAGTTAGAGAGATGTATTCTTAGTTACTTTGCATTCCATTGGAAACATGCTTCTCATATGATCAGTCAGGTAATATATACACATTGAATGTATTGTTAATTGTTTTAGATATAAATTAAGCACCTCATTTGATATAAATTTTGTTGATTAGGGAGAATCTTGACATGATTTTATGTATTATTTCAGGTGCTGAGTGCTGAATCTGAGCCCAAAAAGAAGCTTAAGCACATTGTAATGGCAGCAACTAGGTAGATATATTTCTTCGTACATTGAAATTTAAAACTTTATGATTTGCTTAGAATAAAACATTCACTCGGGGCTTAGTTCCCAAGAGAGTTAACCCTAAAAAGGTCGCCATGCACCATATAATTTCGGGTGAAAAGGTGCAACATTTATCCTTATCGTACCGTCCATCCCAACCGTAAAAATGAAGTTGGTCCTCATAAAAACTCAAAAAGTTTTCAGTCACAAAATCAAGCATTATAAAGTTTTATGTGTCAATCTCACCGAGATTTGGACTATTTTGGTCGTTGAGGACTGATTCTGTAAACCATATGTTGAGGAGTAACTTGATCCATTTTAAAGTCTGACGACGAACTAGCTGATCGGACAATATGTTGGGGACCAGAAGTGCAAGTTTCTTAAAATTCTATCACACCCTGAGCAGTAACAAATTAGTGCGTGCATTCTTAACAACTTTTAGAAATTCTAGGCCACCAAATTAATAGTTTCCACTAATTGGAAACAATGTTATAAATTTTAGTAATTTTTTGTGCTTTTCTAGTAATAAATAAGCTAATTTATCCCTTTTTCTTTTTTTTTTTGTTGATAAAGAGAGCAGAGATTTGAAAGGGTGACAAAGAATCTGAAGGTGGCAAGAGTTTTTACAACCTTAGTAGAGGAGATGAAAGCTATTGGACTTGTATCTCTTGACGATTCACAGTGCACAGATGTTATGGTTCCCATGGCTCATAAAGACAGAAGCCCTGTTCTCCTCTTCATGGGTGGTGGGATGGGGGCTGGCAAGAGTACTGTGCTTAAAGACATTCTCAAAGAGTAAGCACACAAATATGGTATTAATATCCAAAAGAAAAACATGATGATGAACGGATCTCAAAGATTAAAATAACGTTTTTGAATAGTTAAGATAAATTTAACTTTGCACAGAGAATCAGTAACTGATCTGTGGTCTAAAATGTGGTATTCTATTGAAACAGACCATTCTGGGCAGGAGCATCTGGAAATGCAGTGGTGATAGAAGCAGATGCATTCAAAGAGTCAGACGTAATTTATAAAGCCCTTTGCTCCAGGGGGCATCATGACATGCTTCAAACTGCTGAACTGGTACGTCTGTGTTCTTGTCTTCTCCGAGCAAAAATCCAAAGCTCTGTTCATCAATTCCTGTCGTAAACAAGATTAAATAACTTGAAAAAGAAAGTCCATTAGATATCTGTCATTTATAAGCAACTCTTGCCGGGGCATGAAATCTTAGTTTTTGCAGCATATGATACTGAATTCTTCAAGACATGCATGCACTTCAAATCATGGAGATTGAGCATCCCCTAGTTGTTCACACCGTAGCACGTTCCACAATTATAAAAGCAGGTAGATGTTATATCATTAAGAGGCTGAACATTGAACATGATATATACGGCGTTATTGAGCATTCTTTCTTGGGGAAAAGAAGTGAAAGGGAAATTTTCTTAATGATAGGAACTATTTGACACCATCTAGGAGCATTCCCTGGATCTATACAAAGATGAGGCTACTAATCCTCATATAAGAATGAAAGAAACTGTCTATTTCCAATCTCAGAACATCCAATGTATCAATCCCTTAATTATGCACAATTTTCCCAATTTTCCGCGTTGTTGGAATTGGTCTCCACATAGGTATTTTCTCTGTTATCAGTGAGATAAGGCCACAAGTATAGCTTCTATGGTCTCTTTGTTAAAACCCTGTCGATATCTTTCCCATGCAAGCAGATAAATTAAACCTGAGCAACCATGAACCCATAGTCTCTCCCATATGCAATAGACACTGTAATTATCATCAATCTCTTTGCATGCCATGAATTTCTAAAATGTCTTGCAAAAATACCTGCGGAAAAGGAAAAATCATGGATTCCGCACAATAAGCACTCTAATCATCCACCATTTTCCATCTGAATATTCTATCTTAAGTTTCTATCATTTTATGGCATAAAAACCCAAGAATGTAGGTAGATATGAATAAGGAAGCGCAATAGGACTTCTATAGGCAGCCATTGTACTCTGCGCATATTGTTTACAATTTATGGCAGGGTGCAATGACTTGTGTCTTACTATAAGCATTGGAGAGGTCAGCCAGATAGTCTTGACATTAACATTCTCTTCCTTGTTGGTCATTTTGAAATTTTTTCGTCAACAATCTCTAATAACTCTGAGAAACCAAACCATATATTTCACCAATTTTTATCAAAATTTGCTAAGCCCCTATTTGGTATCGATTAAAATTCAGATTTTAATCTAAGTCAAAGTTAATAATTAATTTTAATCACTTATTTTATGAGTCCCGCACTTTTCAACCACACATTTTATCAACTTTTATCAAAATCTACTAAAATCTGATTTTAATTCCTACCAAAACAGGGGCTAAGTATCTAAGGATTAATCTGTTTGTACAAGGATATTGTACAAACAGGTTTACAGGTGCTCCCAGCGGTTTGTTTTATTTTTATTTTTTTGCCCAACACCCAATAAAATATCTTGATATGAGAGACTTAAGAAAGCGCCATTATCTCATTTTTCATTATCAGAATTGGAAGATCATGTGAATTTGATTGGATGGATTAGTTGTGCATCAGTTAGCAGCAATGTATTACACGAAATAACTACATTTTATACATCAAAACCAAAAGATCACATGTTCAAACTCCAATTCTTGCCATCTTTCAGGCACTTTGATTCTCTTTTGATAGTTCATTCCCAACATATCTGTTCTTGTCTATAGGGTTATATGCTAGTTTCAATCACAATTTATCATAGTGGGAACTGTAATATTATTCTAGAAATAAATCATTTGAAAAAATGTTCAAAAACTATTACCTAAGTATATCAAAAAGTACCCAGAATGCAATTGCAATTGCACTTTGCAGGTGCACCAATCATCTACAGATGCAGCATCATCCCTCCTTGTAACAGCACTCAATGAAGGGCGAGATGTGATCATGGATGGCACACTCTCATGGGTGCCATTTGTCGTGCAGACAATAACCATGGCCAGGAATGTTCACCGCCGCAGGTACCGCATGGGAGATGGTTACAAAGTGGATGAAGATGGAACTATTACTGAAAAGTACTGGGAACAAATTGATGAAGAACAAGAACAGGATGGAACTAAAAAGAGAAGGCCGTACAGAATAGAGTTGGTTGGGGTTGTTTGTGATGCTTATTTGGCAGTTATCAGAGGAATAAGGTACACACAACATAAAATGTTGCTGCTATTCTGATTTCCAAAATTCATTATAGGAACGAAGTGTACAGTAAAAAAGCCCCATGAACTACCATTTATCCTTATGGTGACTTCCCAAGTGGAACAAAAGGGAAAGGAACCATAATAAAAAAATTCCCCCCAAGATGAAATTTACTTTATGTGATCAACATTTATATTTAAAGAAGAAATATTTTTCATCGATAAGCGTTGTCTTAAGAGTAGGAACTAAGAATTCAGCAAACCGATGTTTTTTCTTCCCTTTCACAGGAGAGCTATCATGTGTAGAAGAGCAGTGAGGGTGAATTCACAGCTGAAATCGCACAAGAGATTTGCAGATGCATTTACAACATACTGCCAATTAGTAGACAATGCTAGACTCTACTCTACCAATGCATTAGAAGGCCCACCTAAGGTATCATTAGCTTAAATCAAAATGTTTATTTTTCCTTTGCAACATCTATCAATCTGTTTGTGTTTTCTCCAAATATTAGATACTAACATGACTGTGGTTGTGAAGTTAATAGGATGGAAAGACAAAGACAAGACTTTGTTGGTTGACCCAGATGAGATAAGCTGTTTGAAAAAGGTAGGCAGGTTGAATGACGCAGCAGATTCCATATTTGAACTCTATAAACGACCAAATCCTGCTTTTGAAGCAGGCTCGGTATGGAAAGACATAGTTCTGTCGCCTTCAAGGCTGAACATCCAGAAAGAGCTGAAGTATTGCATTCAGAAAGTTGAAAGATTGAGAGAGTGATTTGAGATCATGACAATTGCAATTTCACATTTCTTCTCGTTTCACATTATGCATGTACAAGAGAGTGTGGATCTGTAGGAATTAAAACACGGAAGGGTTTTCTACTGAGAGATCAATTATTTGAGTTTTACTAAACTCTGACTTCACTTTTTGACATGAAAAAGTTGGGAAGGTATAATTTGAAAATATGCAGTTTCTTGTCCATGCTGTGAACGTTTGAAAACAGAAACTTACAGGCATTCATTCATGCGACTGTAAAAGTTAGGAGCAAAATCCTTAAGGCGTATTTTGAACTTCACAACCTTATACTTAAAAAGTTCTATGCATGGTAAAGGAAAGGTTGTGGCATCTTTGGTGAGTGATCATCAGTGGAAAAATAATATTGAAATTAGAATAACATAGAAAAATAATTGAAAGGTCATAAAAAGATGTTTAGTATCTTGTTATCCACCGACTATGTTCCTCAATTGCTTCTGAGCAGCTGACTGGTCGTAAGCAGTTAATATTTAAGTTAACAAACCAATTTTTATGTTAAGCACAAAACTTACCTTGACATTGACTACAAAGAAAAGGGTATAAAGCTCGTCTAGTCGCCAAAGGGTATAAGCGGTATAAAGCTCGTCTAGTTGCCAAAGGGTATACACAAACCTATGGCATTGACTACACAGAAACATTCGCCCCGGTGGCAATGCTAAATACAGTTCGAGTTCTTCTATCCCTAGTAGTGAATCTAGACTGGCCTCTTCAACAACTTGATGTCAAGAATACATTCTTAAATAGAGAGTTAGAAGAAGAGGTCTACATGACAATACCACCAGGATTCAACAAAAGTGGTAAGGAAAATCAGGTTTGTAAACTCAGGAAGTCTCTATATGGCCTCAAACAATCACCAAAGACATGATTCGATCTATTTGCAAAAGTGCTGAAGAGTCAGGGATATCAGCAGGGACAATCCGATCACACCATTTTTTTCATCAGTCTAGAGATGGTACTAAGACAATATTGATTGTATTTGTTGATGATATAATCCTAACTGGAGACAACATTGCTGAGATGGAAAGATTAAAGAAGTGTTTAGCTGCAGAATTTGAAATAAAAGATCTTGGACAAATGAGGTATTTTTTGGGTATGGAGATTGCAAGATCAAATAAGGGTATCAGTGTGTCTCAACGGAAATACATACTTGACCTGCTAAGAGAAACTGACATGTTAGGATCTAAACCAAGTGACACTCCTATTGAATCTGGAAAGATGAAGGACACAGGGAGCCCAGTGAAAATAGATAGATATCAAAGATTAGTTGGTAAGTTAATCTATCTCTCACACACTAGACCTGATATTGCATTTGCAGTCAGTGTGGTTAGTCAACACATGCAATCTCCCAAAGAAGCTTATCTAGAAGTAGTATACAAAATTCTCAGATATCTGAAAGGCACTTCTGGGAAAGGATTATTTTTCGGGAAAAATAAAAGGATGGGAATAGAAGTATTTACTGATGCAGAATGGGCTGGATCAATTGAAGATAGAAGGTCTGCTTCTGGCTACTGTACATTTGTATGGGGAAACTTAGTGACTTGGAGAAGCAAGAAACAGAATGTAGTGCCTAGAAGCAGTGCCGAAGCTGAATTCAGAGCTGTGGCTCAAGGAATTTGTGAAGGGCTGTGGATAAAGAAACTCTTGGAAGAGCTGAAAGTGAATGTTGAACTTCCAATCAGACTCTATTGCGACAACAAAGCAGCCCTCAGTATTTCCCTTAATCCAATACAACATGACAGAACCAAGCATATAGAAGTGGACAGGCATTTTATCAAAGAAAAAGTAGAAGATGGGATTATTTGTATGACATATGTCCCTACAACTGAGCAAACTGCGGATATCTTCACAAAAGGATTGTCACGACAAAGCTTCAACGAACTCCACAGCAAATTGAACATGATCAACATCTATAGTTCAACTTGAGGGGGAGTGTAGAAAGTCATATAATATGGAAATTGTAATTTATTTAGATTGTTACTTTTGGTTAATTGGTAGGTTGATTTATTTCCTTACTTAGGTGATTATAGTTTCCTTTTCCAATTTGTATTGTATAGTATAAATAGGAGGTATAGGGTTGTGTTTTGTAGAATTGTGGAATAAAATTTCAATATTCCAATTCCGTTTTCAATGATACTACCTGAAGAGAGATTGATTCTATTATTTGTCAATAATTCTACAATGTAAAGAGTTACAATTTATAATACGAAGGTAGCCGTAAAAAGGGAAAATTCAAATCTCCTAAAACTGGAAAGAAATCAATTTATACACCACACAACTCTAATTATGGATAGGAGATAATCTTACTATTTGGTATGATTCGAATTTCCACACTACCAGCTGTGGAGCATTCAGAACCAGACACAAGCATAAGCATTAGTGTTCCTTCTTGTGGAGGAGAGCTACATAATAGACATTACCACTCATTACAACTAGGCAATCAATGAAACTCAACCACAAGGCCACCTCTTAAATTTAGTCCCTTCTGGCTAAAGTCAACATCATGGTTCGTGTATGATTCAAAATGCAAGTTAGCTAGGTTTAGGTGGATCATTTTATTTTTAAGTAAATACAATCTTGCAGTGTTAGAGGAAGCAAATGAATACAAAATCCATAACCTTAAGGTTAATTATATAAATTTCACGTCACAGCAAGAAAATTTTGTTCCTAGGATCAAAATGCTAAGGCATGTACCCTTCATTAACTAAGTACTTAGGAAAAGTATAATCCCCACAGAATTGTCTACACCATCCCAAACTCCTTTTCAGTTAATCCAATTTTACATCTCTCAAAACAAATCTTTTGCAGTTCGGTTATAACATTTCACAAAATTCAGGAATTTCACATTTGAACACAGTAACAATATAGGTCTAGGCGGTAGTCAATCACTTGAAAATTACTTTGCCGCAGCCTAGCTTCCCCCATGCTTCAACAATTTCCACAGCACCAAAGACAGAAATTTAACCAACTTGTTACATATTTTTCAAAAAATGCTGCTCAGTGCATGCAAGAAATATAACTGACCATACTTCTCTTAGAATAGAAAACACAGAATGTTTGAGCGCAAGAGGCAAATCATACTCTTCCTAGAAAATTGCACCAACACAAACATGTAGCTGACAAAAAGTCAGTGCCCTTGATTTAGAATAACAGTTCCCAATGGAAAGACAAGGGAATGTTCGAATTGATGACCATAACTAATGAATAAATGTCAAGAGTAACTTCCCAAGAGTGGTAAGTGATCATGTGAAACAAGCCAATTGCTAATTTTGGTCGCGATCATTATCTTGTGGTAATCTACTGATAAAATTTAGTACTCATGATCCACTTGTTAAAATGTCCTTTCTTTTCCACATAGTAGAGTAATTTGAAAATGCGCAAGCCGTACAAGTGCAGTTAAGATTTTAACTTATATAAGCATCAGCCTGAACTACAATCAAGTCTTTCAATATTTAGTATCCCCTGGGCCCCACAGCATGATCAATCAGTAAACCAGCGTGGCTGAACCATTTTCCACATTTAATCGACGGTCAGTGGGACACGTAAACTACCTTTAATGGTTGTTGATGCAGTTTCCTGGTACTGTATACACCTCAGAAATGGGAAAGCCATGCATCCAATCAAGTTCCACATAAATTTCCCTAAAAGAAGAAAGAAAGGTTTGAACAGGATAACTCATTCCTCAGATCGAATCACCTCTGATTAATGGACATAATGGATACAAGTAACAATATATGACAGTAAAAGACAAAAACACATTCAAAAGAGTTGACAAGAGATGTTGATAACGATTGCCTTCAATAGGAGATTAAAAATCAGGTATATCATTCCTACATACAAAACCATGCAACACGTACTCATAAATGTATAAAATGCTGTAGCTGAAAGATTAAATCATATGGAATCAAACTACTGAAGAAATGGCAAGTATGCCACAGGCACCAATCGTTTGTGAACTCAAAACATATAAAGTCAGAATAAGCCCTGCGCCATGGCTAAAGTGTACCCCTTGGTCCAAAAATATATGACAAAATTGAGCTTGAATACTATTCTTGCAAATGTTGTTCTATATTCATTCTTAAAAGTGAAGAGCACTGATACGCTAGCAAGCACATACAGGATCGAGGAACGAGATTTGGGCAAAATCATTGACGATCTAAACAAGGTACTTAAGCCGCAAAATCATTGATGCTCTAAACAAGGTCCTTAGCACACAGCAAAGTGAAAACAAGAATATTTAGAGCCCGCCTTTCTGCTCCATGCATCTCCCAGCCAGTTAAAAATCCATCATGTGCATGAATCAGCAAGTATATTGGGTTCAAATAAGCCGCATGATAGTGATGAAGGAAAGTTGCATCAAGTCAAGGTGAAAACCTGAAATGATGGCACATAGAATTCTTCTTCTCAATGTAATCCTTATTACCATGAGCAAAAATCTAAATTGTAATTGTTTTAGGTATTTAGGCATGATTAACAGGGGATTTGAAGATGTAGTGCATAGATGAAAGTGGGTTGGATGTAAATGGAGAATTGCTACTATTCTATGTGAAAAGAAGATCTATATAAGATAAAAATTAATTATACGTGAGCTACTAAAGGACAAAATATCTATAAAATAAACATACTAGAAATTGGGATATTAAGATGGAAAAATATCTATAAAATAAAGGAAATAGAAATTGGGATATTAAGATGGATGTATGTTATGCTAGAGCGAATAACAAATGAGCTACTAAAGGACAAAATATCTATAAAATAAACATACTAGAAATTGGGATATTAAGATGAAAAAATATCTATAAAATAAACGTATAGAAATTGGGATATTAAGATGGATGTATGTTATGCTAGAGCGAATAACAAATGAGCTACTAAAGGACAAAATATCTATAAAATAAACGTACTAGAAATTGGGATATTAAGATGAAAAAATATCTATAAAATAAACGTATAGAAATTGGGATATTAAGATGGATGTATGTTATGCTAGAGTGAATAACAAATGTGAATACCCACCACCAAGTGGTGATGGCAAGAGTTTTTCAGGAAAATGAAGTGAAAAACAACTTGGATGGTTAGGACATGTCTTGCATAGACTTTAAACAAAAGTGACATGATATCAGTACAAAATGTTAAAAGAGGGAGACATATAAACATGAACAATTATGGTTGCATGAAATCTTCCAGTGGAACTAGCAATAAAAATTGAATCGTAAGGAGAAAAAAGATTCACGATGTCATCCAAATATTTAGGAAGAGCTTTAGAGCCTAGAATTATTATTCATCTTCCGTTTTCCTAATTGAAGAAATAACTGGAAAATGAAACAACTCTTCTGTTGTTTTTCGATGTTCTTATCATGAACAATAAAGTAAAATGCAGGATGCCCAAGATCACACGGTCACTGTTATCCGAGAGGTGTAAACAAGAGAGCAGAAACCTGGTTGGAATGTCATCCAAATGAAGAAACTTAAAAAGTATATAAGCATTGCAGATGAATTATAAGATACTTCAGATATCAACAAACATGGCACATGTTTCAAGAAGAGATGGAACTGCTTACAAGGAATCATTCACCTGATCCTGAAGAAGGAAAAGGGAAATGCTTTTATACATCTTAGTGACCTTGTAAAATGAAAAAAAAAAAACAAAAAATGTTACTCCAGGAAATCTGCGCTTCTTTAGTCCAGACACTAACGAAAAATGATAAACTGTTAATGTATGTCTATAAATCATCTCTCCGACTCCAATAAATTTCTCCAACCATTGCAATGAATCTAAATTTAGATTTTGCCAATTGTTTTACAAGAATGACAATAAATCCCATCATGGAAAATTCATCAATATCTTGCAGTTAGGAATCTATGTCAATCAATTAACATAGCCCCAGGTTTAAAGGATGCACTAACGCCAGTGTAATAATCGCCAATCTTAATAGTAGCGTCAATATTATTAATGAAATAGCACGGCACAATTTACCATTTAACTTAGTTGTCGGATATAGCTTCATCAATCACCTAGTTAAATGTAAAAGCCACATTCAAAAATGTGTTGAACAGCCTGACATCCACGCTATCTGCAGTATTTATGCACCACAAAATAATAGTTATGGTGAAAGTGCTTACAGCTCTCACAAAAAACTACCCGAACACTTTGCACAAGTAACTAAAAATGGCTATCAAGAGGAAGTTGATCAATCATCATATCATAGATTCATAATGCTCTTCAATTGCATATAAAATGTGAACATCAAAAGGTACACGAAACTCCGAATTGATTCTTAAAAACTTCAGAGTTACCACAACATTCGATTTCTATAGCCGCTGAAAATTGTTTTCATATTAATCTATTCCGATACAGAATTACATGCAATTCATATATAAAAATACATGAATCCTTATACATATGTGCATAAATATATAAAGCTAAGTGATCAATGCGTAAGCTTTTTGGGAGTTTGTTGAAGCCAAAGTCGAGAACATATAAAAGTATACAGAATTGAAGTAGAAACAGTCTAGAGTTCACCAAGAGATGATGCGCAGAAAATACGTGTCTTGCACACAGCAAATGGTTCTGATTCACACCATCAACGTTAGGATTGCAAATGACGCCACATACTAATTTACGCTCGGTGCAAACCCCGTTAAATTCCACCGACTTCCCCACCTCGTCATTAACGTGCATCGCCAGCCATGAGTAAACCCAAAGCTTGCGTGTTAAGTACTGTACGAATCAAAACCCTAAAGATTAAGCCGGAAAAGAAAATCGCTAGTGTGAGCATAAAATTAGAGAACTCTACTCATTCATTTCATAATAGATTTGAACATGTAAGTACAACTGAGCACTGTTTCAAATCCCTTAAACCTAAAAATCAATTAAAAACAACTCTAAAAAATTTATATGAAAGGGGGGAGATAATTCTATGATATTCTGTGGGCTAAAGATGCAAATACACCCACTACAAAGGATCCAAGATAAATTTACAAAACTATCCCTGCAAACAAACAACTCTTTCAAAGAGGCCCTCTCCCTAATTCTCACTTCTTCCCCTTCTTTGCAGGGGCTGCTTTCTTCGCCGGAGACTTCACAGTTCGCTTCATGCCCTTAGCCGGAGCCTTCCTCACTGTTGGGGCCTTCCTTGCTGCCGGAGCCGCCTTCTTAGGAGTTGCTGCTTTCTTTGGAGGCACCGGAGCCGCCTTCTTCCCTGGAGTTGTCCTTGTTGATGTCCTTGCTGCCTTCGCAAGCGGCTTCTTCTCAGCTTTGGGTTTCTCTGGGGCCTTCCTTTTGGAGGCTGGCTTTGACTTAGCCGGCACAGCCGCCTTAGGCTTTGCAACCGGCTTGGATTTGGCAGCTGGCTTAGACTTGGCAGCAGGTTTAGCCTTGGCAGCTGCCTTGGATTTGGAAGGAGCTGCCTTTGGCTTGGCTTTCGCCTTGGAAGGAGCAGCCTTCTTCTCCTTAGTGGTTTTGCTGGTGGCAACCTTGGGCTTGGCAGCAGGAGCCGGCTTCTTCTTAGCTAGAGCAGTAGATTTTGAAGAAGACGAACGAGCCGGTGGAAGCTTGTATGAGTTCTTGACCTTAACCAGCTTTTCAGAAGCCACAAGCTTCTTCAAGTGAAACAGTAAAAGCTTCCTAAAGTTAGCCGGCAGATTCTTCTGCTTGTCCTCAACAAACTTCTGAATCGCATGTTGACTGGATCCAGTTCTCTCCTTCAACGACACGATCGCCTCTTGAATCATCTGCATGCACACAAAATTCACCAGAATTTCAGATCCCATTTCACAAAAAATCAAAAACCCGTAAAATCAAACAAAAATGAATCTTAATTCAATACCTCAAAGTAAGGAGGATGAGATGGAGAATTGTGCTTTTTGGATGCAGCAGGTTTCTTCGGCTTGGATTCTTTCTTGGGCTTGGTAGGATTGGCCGGTGGATTCTCTTCCACGCCTTGTTCAGCAGCGGCCGACTCGGCCACAGGGTCGACGAGGACAACTGGTTCTTCAGTGGCGGCCATAAAGAATTATTTCCAGTATCAGAAAACTGGGACTAGGGTTCCGAAAATAAAGTGGGATCTTGAGAAAATCGTATAATATGGATCTATTATACTGAGTTCCTAGAGAATTTTGAGCGTTGGGGGTGAGCATTGAGTAAGAAATGGGGTGGATTTATATAGTAAGCGTTAGAGAGCTAATATCCAAACGCTATAGCCTGATTGGTAAAGAGGCCCTTGACGCGGATCCAGGCTTTTGCAAAATTTTAAATTTCGGCCGTTGGATTGAGATTTAATCTACAGTTGTGTGCAATAAATGAGTAGGATATGGATTGTAATGCAGCAAAGTTGGCTGTTTTCTGCTACCAAAGGTGTGTTTTTGTGCTTGATTGATCCAGGAATAACTTGAGATGCACTTCATGGAATTGAGTGAATTTTTTTTTATTGTGTAGGTAATTTCATAAGCTTTCTGGAGAGCATTCATTTGAGATCTTTGGATTAGCAATTTGGGAGATATTATGTTTTAAAGCTAAAGTGGTCAAGATAACGCTTTTCATGGAGCATATTGTGCTTTTGTAGAATTTTCTGATGATTCTTGGGATCGAATGTCATTTTTAAGATTGGAAATGATAGTAGGTTAACAAACGAGTCCGTACAATCAAGAATTGTATGAATCGGATCATGTTTGGATAGAAAAATATAAGTTACGATCGCATTGAAGATGAACATATTGGAAATAGTTGTGCATCAATTTATATTAGGTCATGCAAACATTTTATTTCAGAGATTTGGTTTCAACTAAAACAAATATGATGCTTTGTAATCAAATAAGTGTTGGGTAAATGACATCATTAACTACATGAAGTGGATGACAAATCGAATGTTTTTAAAGCTGTGTGCATTAGTTGTACGGTGAACTAGTAAGTTAAAACAAAACGCAGTGCACCTTCATCTTAACATGTATTATTCATTCTCGATGATAAAAAATGGTTAACAACTGATAAAATTAGTGTCGAAAATTTCATATAAGCTTAGTTTTTTATGATTAATGGCATAAACTTCACACATGGAATGTTATTAACATCACGTGCTTTAATTGCATGGTATAGTTCTAAGTGAAAGAGGTATCATCAATTAATCTTGCCATGTATTATTATTTACTAATCTTCAAAGTTAGTTGCTCCCGAATAAAATTTCTATTTAATTTTTATGAATCCTAGGTTTTATTGTATTACATGGCATTTTGTTTTTATGTGAAAAAGTTATTCGTATCTTTGAATGTGTATATAACTTATTAAATTGAAAATTACACCACATTGACAAACCCCTTACATAAAAATCTTGACATGCGAAGAAAATTTAGTGCTGAGGATTTATGTTATACACTAACTTTCAATTTGCTAACATAGTAAGATAAGAACAAAAGGAACAATTCTATTCGGCTTCATTAATGCTTATTGTCTGCTTAGCTATTAATTAAATGATTAGACATCTTAAATATAAATTGTCGCTTAGCGAATTGTCAGATTAGCGCTTAGTATCAATGGGACTAATATACCGTTACTCTAACTGAAATTACTACCGTTACAAACAAGTCTTAGTAATTCTGAAAATGCCACGTGTGATAATTTCATG